CACTTCTCCGTCCATCCTGAGGCCGAGTCCCACATACAGCAACTAGAAGGATGTGCAGCTATGACATACAACTATCTACTGGGGCTTTGGGGGGAAAAATTAAATAAATAAAATCTTTAAAAAAAAAAAAAAAATGTAAATAAAATTTCAGAGTCAATGTCCATTACAGACCACATATTTGCTTCATTTTGGCACCTGTTTTAGCATAAGTGATAAAACACGCTTTGCCAAAAAGGAAACAAGAGTACAGAAGCTAAGTAACTGGAAATGTGAACGAAATACTTAGCTAAGCCCCAGGAAAACAAAGTAAGCATGCAATCTAATACGCTTTTATTGTCATTCTGTGTTAATATTCCTTTAGAAATTTTCCTAGTAGAGCCAGCCCCGTGGCCTAGTGGTTAAGTTCGGTGCGCTCCGCTTCGGCAGCCCAGGTTCAGTTCCCAGGCACAGACCTACACCACTTGTTGGTGGCCATGCTGTGGTGGCAACCCACACACAAGATAGACGAAGAATGGCACAGATATTAGCTCAGGGCAAATCTTGCTCATCAAAAAAAAAAAAAAGAAATTTTCCTAGATCTATTTTCCTAGATTTATTTAATCTGGCTAAATGATAATTAGAAACTGTTAGCATCAAATTCTACTAGGAAAGAAGACAGGATTAGTAATTCCTGAAGACAGGAATATGCCTTGTATTTATACTGAAACAGAATTAAGGAGAAAAGGCTAATTTGCTTTGCATTCAGGGCTGTTTTATATATTTATAGAAAATACTTAGAGGAGAGAGAAAAATATATTACTATAACATGAAATGTAAATTTTATGATAACATTGAATGCAAATTCATATCCTATCTTCTAATGAAAAGAACAAATTTTGACACAAACATCTACAAAATGCTGCACAAACGATCTTATGGTTAGTGAAGTTTCCTCTAAACTAAGAATTCTTTTCTGTAAAATATCTAGAGCTGAATTCTATTGCATAGCATGAATAAACACACAGCAAATAACTCCTGCGCACTAACACATGAATTATCAATTGTCACAATCTGCTTTCCCCTCCAGCTTTCTTGTTCAGCTACTCTCATCTTAACCATTCTTGGACCTGGTTGAGACCCTGTTATGGACTGAAGGTTTGTGTCCCCACAAAATTCTTATATTGAAATCCTAACCCCCAAGGTGATGGTATCAGGAGGTGAGGCCTTTGGGAGGTGATTAGGTCATGAGTGTGGAGCCTGCATGAGCCTGTGCCCTTGTAAAAGAGACCCCACAGAGCTCTCTAACCCTTTCTGCCATGTGAGGCCGCAGTGAGAAGATGGCCATCTATGAACCAGGAAGTGGTCTATCACCAGACAATGAATCTACTGGTGCCCTTATCTTGGACTTTCCAGTCTCCACAACTGTGAGAAATAAATTTATGTTGTTTATAAGCCACCCAGTCTATGGTTTATAGCAGCCTGAACAGACTAAGATAGACTCTAATCCATGGACCTCCTGCCCTCTCAATCCATCAGTCTTCCCCGTTCTTCACTTCCCTCCTTATCCAGCTTCTTACCCCTCTGTCTCTTAACAAACCTTTCTGGTGAAAATCCAATCTTGGATCAGCCCCACTCATTACATTCTCTGTGCCTGGCAGAACATAGCTATAGAAAGTCACCCCACATGGCAGACTGGGACCCCTAGGAATTCACAGTCCCCAAACACTGATGCCCATTGATGCTGATGCTTTGTTGAGAGGGGACGTCTCCTCTAACACCTGAGTGGAGTCACATGGATATCTGAGGTCACTTAATGCAGCGACTCTGGGGCACACAACAGGAATATGTGAGGAATAGTGTGGAGGCCAACGTGTCTGGAAGAGAGTGAGTGAAGGAGAGAGTAGTAGGATATAAGATCAGGAAAGTAATGGGAGGCCAGATAGAGCAAAGCCTTATATGTGACTGCAAGGACTTTGGCTTTAACTCTGCGAGAGATGGGAAACCTCTGGAAGATTTTGAGTAGAAGAGTAACAGGATCTGAGTTAACCTTTTAAATACCGTAAGGCCAGAGTTCAGTCTGGCTGCTGCACTTAAGAAAAGGCTGTGGGTTGGCGAAGGTGGAAGTGGGAAGACCAGGTAAGCTGTTCTCCAGCTAACTGCCCATGTGACATCTCCATGAAGATATGGCAAAGGCACCTAGAGCATGAATTACACTCTACACCTCCCTCTCTCTCATTTTTCAGATCTAACCCAGGGCTTAGTCCTGTCCATTTTATGCCACCCCTCAATCTCTCTCAAATCCATCCTCTGTACTCTATCTCCATTTGTTTAGTTTCATTTAGCAAGGACCTGCTATATGACAGGCACAGCTCTGAGGATGGGGACACAATGGTGAACGAGACAGACAAGGCCTTGCCTTCATGAAGCTTCTACTTTAGTGGTTAAAAACAAAGAATAAAAAAGGTAATAAATGAACAAATCAATGTCAGAGAGTGATAAATGCTGGGAAAGAAAGAAACAGGATGATATTATAGGCACTTATTTCTCAAACAGGATAATCATGAAAGGCCATTTTAAGGAGATAACAGTGAGCTGAGACTTGAAAGATCAAAAGGCAAATGGTCAGGAGAACATTCCTGGTAGAGGGAGCAGGAAAGTAATGAGGACAGTAAGACTAGACCCCCTTTGAGGATGTTTGTTCTAAAGAATAACAGAGAAATGGGACTAGAGGTGATGTCAAGGGAGGGTGAGAATGAGCTGGGCTATACAGAAAAAATGAGGAGGCCCTGAGGCTGCAGCTCGTGAACAATGGGAGAATGGCAAGAGAGAAAGGAAACTGTAAGACGGAAGAGAGATCACATACAACTGAGGCAATTGTAGGCTTTATTGTAAGAAATCTGGACCTAAGTTTTCAAAATTGAGCAATTGAGGGATTGAGGAAGAAACAGGCTTCTGAGGAAAAGCCAAGAGATCTCTCCTAGACACATTATGTTCGGGATGTCCATGAAATGTGTACATACAGATGTCAGCAAGGCTGGTGGATATAGAAATCTGGAGCTTGGGGAATTGGTCAGAGTTGGAGAGAAATGGGCAGGCTGGAGAATACAAATGGTGTTTAAAGCCATGGAACTGGCCCAGTCACCTGGGGAGAGGGTCCAAGACCAGCATTTAGAGCTCGGAAAAAGGAGGAAGAACCAAAAAAGGAGAAAAAGAGGGAGTAAAAGAGGTAGTCATTGAGATAAGAGGAAAATCAAGAGAGGGACTGTCACGAAAGACAAAGAGGAGGCTTGGAAGACAAGGGGTCAGCCATGCCAAATTCTACCGAGAGGCTGATGGAAATGAAGACAGCAAAGTGCCCACTGAATTTGGCAATGTAGACATACTTGTGACTTATAAAAAGCAATTCAGAAAAACAACGGGGAAGAAACTAAATCAGAGTGGGTTGAAGAGTGAATAGATGGTGAGGAAATGAGAACAAGAACAGACACCCCTTTGAGGATGTTTGTTCTAAAGAATAACAGAGAAATGGGACAATCACTAGAGGTGACATCAAGGGAGGGTTTTTTCAGCGTGAGAGATGCCAGAGAGTAGTTGTACTGGGAGAAACCCAGGAAAAAGGCATAGGTAAATGACATGGAAGGATAAGAGATGAGTGAGGAATCAAGCCCCTGAGAAGGGAGAGGGAATGGGACCCAGAACCCAAGTGAGAGGTTGGCTTTTGATAGGAGCAGGACACTTCTCCCACTGTGACACAAGGTGAAGTGCAAATGCGGGCTCAGTGCAGTCAAGTTTGTAGACATGGTGGCTGGAGTCAAGGGAGCTCCCATCAACTAACTGCCTTTATGTTCTCAGAGCAGTTCCGTGAGTTCAAGCCATCACAATCTCTCCAGGGAATGAGTGGAACAGACTGCAAACTCAACCTGCAATCAGCCCTCCACAGGCAGTCCAGTGGATCTTTTCAAAACTAAAAGTGATTATGTCACCAACCTGCTTCAGTGGCTTTCCCCTGTTCTAAGGTTAACGAAGAAAGCCTTTAAATGTCTTATAGGACCTGCAAGGTCTGCCCCTGTTCACCATTCACCCTCAAAGTCCAATCATTCCCTATACCATTCTCTGTGTTCTAGAGACATCGGATTTCTCTCTCTTGATGTGCCATGCTTCCTTCTGCCACAGGGACTTTGAACACGCTATTCCCTCTGCACACGCTATTCCATTCTCCCTCCCTTTGCTTAGTCAACTCCAAGTCCTCATCAGCTCTTGGCTCAAGTGTTATTTCCTCAGGGCAGCCTTCTCTGCTCCTTCAGCCTAAGTCTGGTTTCATCATGACACATTTTCTTGGAACTGTACTCCTTTCCTTCAGAGCATTTAACTCAGTTTTTAATTATACATTCTTGATGTAATTATTTGTTTAATGTCTCTCTTTCACAGTGAACATTGTGAATGTCTGTGTTGGCTCCCCACCGAATCCCCAACATTTAGCATAGTGCCTGGCACATAACAGGAAGTCAATAAATATTGGTTGAATGAGCAGATATGCAATATGGTAAGTACTGTGGAATGCACAGAATTAACAAGACACATGTCTCCAAGAAAGCTACAAATTAGTGGGGACTACAAAACATGGACATGACAGAATCCCTCTCTAAGGAGGCACATGGTGCTAGTTACAGTGGTTACATCTGGGAAGTGGTGGAAGGAAGACTCAATTTTGATTGCATACTTTTGTACTCCTTGAATAAATGTGTGTGTATTACTTTTAAAGATAAGTAAACACACTCAAAGAAATAATAAAGGCAAAGAACATTAAGTTACCTAAAAGAGATAATGCCACAAGAGTTCAGAGAAAAGAGGTTACTTCTAGGTAAAGGCCTCAGTAGGAAAGCTTTATGGAAAAAATTATCACTTGACTTGAACTTTGCAAGATGAGTAAGGTTTCAATAGAGGTGAAGAAGGGAGGGAGGAAGTGATTTCTAACGAGAGGGAACTCTAAGCAAAGAGACCAGGGCAGGAAAACAGTGGAGACAGGATGAAAAGGAGGTGGGGATCCATGCAGAGGAGGCAGTAGGTGATGAAGCTAGAAAGTTTGGGTTCAGGACATAGTGTGGAGGCCAGGCTAAGGAATTCTGACAAATCTGGCAGGTAACGCATGAGCCACAGAATAATCGTTTAAGACTACAAAGGGGGCCGGCCCCGTGGCTGAGCGGTTAAGTTCGCACGCTCCGCTACTGGCGGCCCGGGTTCGGATCCCGGGCGCACACTGACGCACCGCTTCTCCAGCCATGCTGAGGCCATGTCCCACATACAGCAACTAGAAGGATGTGCAACTACGACATACAACTATCTACTGGCACTTTGGGGGAAAAAATTAAAAAAGGAGGAGGATTGGCCATAGATGTTAGCTCAGAGCCCGTCTTCCTCAGCAAAAAGAGGAGGATTGGCATGGATGTTAGCTCAGGGTTGATCTTCCTCACAAAAAAAAAAAGACCACAAAGGTTAGATCTGTGCATTGGGGAGGCACATTTGGGATCAGTGTGCAAGACAGACTATAGGGGGAAGAGGTAGGCAACAGGAAGGAAAGCAGGATTAGGACCACTTAAGACAGGTATGTCCATGTAGATGTAAGCTTCTGTTTTTTGTTTTTTTTTTAACAATTTTATTTATTTATTTTTTCCCCCAAAGCCCCAGTAGATAGTTGTACGTCATAGTTGCACATCCTTCTAGTTGCTGCATGTGGGACGCGGCCTCAGCATGGCCAGAGAAGCGGTGCGTCGGTGCACACCCAGGATCCGAACCCGGGCCGCCAGCAGCGGAGCGTGCGCACTTAACCACTAAGCCACGGGGCTGGCCCCTGTAAGCTTCTGTTTTTATGCCAAAAAAAGTGTGTGGGGGGGGAGAATACAAACTGGTTTGCTTTGTATTCAGAGAGAGTACGCAACATTAATTGAAAGATATTGACACTTTGAATCAGTATCACAGAGACAGGGAAGTAGGGAAAGAATGCAGGCAGACAGATGGCAGAGATGGCACCAACAGGTGTAAGCATACTGATGAGATATGAGGACAGTGGGAGAAATCCAGGTGATAGGATTGAGGAAGATGGGGAAGGGGAGAGAAGGCAGGAAAAAAATGGTGAATCCATTCAGAACATGATAAATTTGAAGAAGCAGAAGGCAACTAAGAAAACTGCAATAGGCAATTTTTTGGGAAAGAGATTAGGACTAGAGGATATGATTACAGAGTCATTTGCGTCTAGATGATTTGAATTGATAAGGCACCACTTGAAGAATAAACTGAAAAAAGAACAGTGGGTTTCTTTAAGGGGTGATGAAAAAAATGATGGTTGTAAAACTTTGTGAATATGCTGAAAAACACTGAATTGTATACTTTAAATGGGTGAATTGTATGGTATGTGAATTATATCTGAAAGTTGTTGTAAAAAAAAAAACGATGAGAAAGGATCCTGAAGAATGGAGTCAGTGGGTATTCATTACTCTTTTTTTTTTGTTTGTTTGTGTTTTGTTCTGTTATTTTGTGAGGAAGATCAGCCCTGAGCTAACATCTGCTAATCCTCCTCTTTTTGCTGAGGGAGATTGGCCCTGGGCTAACATCTGTGCCCATCTTCCTCCACTTTATATGGGACACCGCCACAGCATGGCTTGACAAGTGGTGCGTCGGTGCACGCCCGAGATTCGAACCCCGGCCGCCGCAGCGGAGCACGTGCACTTAACCGCTATGCCACCAAGCCGGCCCCGGTATCCATTACTCTTTTAAGAAATTTAGTAACTTCTCAAAACTTTTCCATAAGACAGTTTGGAGAGCTAAGCAGCTCTTTAGGAAGGTTTTTGAGATGAGGGAGACCTGAGTGTACCTTCAGGCAGAGGGCAGGAGCAAATGAAGAACAACTTTGAGGCTTTCAGAACACAAGACTTTCCTACAAATAACATATATAGCGTGACAAATACCTAATGGATTTCTTCTGTAGTGAAATGAGCCTTCTGCAGAATAAGTGGGCTGGAACACACTTCCCAGCTGATGTGCAAGGACTTGATTTATATCGCTGAAGGAGATCTGCTTGATATTCATCAGTTTTGCACAGATCTTATGAACAGCATCATTCTCATGAACAAGGAGGGCGTCTGAAGATCGGTACAAGTGAGAAAGAGTCAAAATGGAGTTGTAGTTCTGAACAATAATCTGGAGAGAAAAAGGTCAGAGAGAAGAAAGACAGAAGAGAATAGCGGTTAGGAGGGTAGATTCTAAAGGCGTCCTGCCTGGGTTCAAATCCTGACTCTGTCACTTTCTAGCTATATGATCTTGGACAAGTTATTTAATCTCTCTACGCCTCAGTTTCCTCATTTGTAAAATGGGGATAATTATTACTCCAGCCTCCTAGAGCTGTAAGGATTAATGATAGAATCCAAGTAAAGCACTTAGAACAGTGCCCTACATATAGTGAGGGCTTAATAAACAGTGACTATTACTATCACGCTTTCTTCCTACATCTTTGCCTATGGTACTTATCTCACCTCCGTTTTATCATTTCCCCTACTAGGCTGATCAACAGGAAAATGGCCTGTATAGAAATTTCCTCTCAAGGGAAAGAAATGAAAATTCTTTGAAGGTTGGCAACGGACACCATGAACCCCAACATGAGGTAAAGGTCCTTGCTTGCATATTGTAGCCAGAGGGACTAACCCAGGAATGGGTTCTTTTTTTTTTTTTAATCTTTTTTTTGTGAGGCAGATTGGCCCTGAGCTAACATCTGTGCCAATCTTCCTCTACTTTGCATGTGGGACGCAGCCACGGCATGGCTTGATGTGTGGTATGTAGGTCTGCGACTGAGATCTGAACCCGTGAACCCTGGGCGGCAGAAGCAGAGCGCACGAACCTAACCACTATGCCACTGGGCCAGCCCCTAGGAATGGGTTCTTAAGAGAAGATATACAATCGTCTTCTTTGGAATTTTTAAAAACAAGGACACCCCATTTATTTGGAAAAGTTTAAGCAAAGTTAAATGAATTGTTCATGAAAGTACCATATTGTATAATCACTCCTGATGCAGTACCTTAACATTTCCAAAGAAAGGGTGAGATCAATCTTTTACCTACATTTATTTCACCTGCAAAGAATACAAAATATAAAATTTTCGATTAATATGTTCATACCTCGCCAGTTCCATAAGGCCATATAATCTGATTCATTTTCAAAGAGTGTGAGTACTGGTCTTGTAAATTCTGTGTAACGAAGGCTCCTAGCCCTGATCCTGTGCCCCCAGCCATACTCATTATGATAAAAAAACCACTCAGAGAGTCACATTTCTCGACTTCCTTCTGGATTAGGTTCATTATAGATTCTTCATGCCTGGGTCCATGAACAGAGTAACTGTGCAGTGCAAAAGAAACAAATACAAATACCTTTCAATTTAACCAGAGAGATGCAATGCAGAGAGAAAGATATAGGATAAATAAGGCTTTTTAAACCTATAGAAGTGAACTAACACTCATGAAAGGTACAGGTACCCTGATAGACAAAAATTAAAATACACAAGTTAAATATATTTAATAGGTGAACAGGACCGCCAGGAGAGTGAATTTACTGGGTACAGAAAATTCTCTTTTATAAACCATTCCTATAAAATGGAGACTTAGCTGGAGACTTCAACTACCAGATAGTTTTGGAAGTTTATGGTACAATATAATATTCAATATTCATAATACTCCTAAAGCAGTGGTTCTCAAACTTTGCTGCACATTACAATCATCTAGGGAAACTTTGAAAAATCTCAACATCTAGGTTTCATCCAAAACCAATTAAGCCAGAATTTCTGGAAGTAAGCCAGAAATTGGAATTGGAATTTTCCAAAGAACTCTAGGAAATACTACCACCTTGTTGTATTCCCTATTAGCTGGAATACCTGCCAGATAAAGATATTGTATTGATAACAAATTAGTTGGCAGAATGACAGTGAAGAAGTGGAAAACACTGCTGCAAGAGATGCAAGTTTCATCATTAAGTGGACCTGAGCACAGACATACGTGACACTGAATAAGAGTTTCTTCTGGGTGAAATCATACTTTAAATTTTAAAACAGAAATTTCATGATTATGTGCTCGGTGTATCAACTGTGCCACTGTAACTACACTATGTATTAATCAACTATGTAACTGTATCTAAACAGAAAATCATGAGGAATTATTCTTACCCATATGCCCAGTTGTTTCCTGAACCTTGTTTTTGACAGAAGCATGAATGCTGGCCATATTTCCATCGGCCAGACTGGGCAGCCTTTGATAGTGTTTGATTGATAACTTTAGGTTCCATGTCAACGAGTACAGCCCGGGCAATTGGAACTAGAGAGGGAAAAGAATCAAAAGAAAAATATTTCATATGTCTTCTTTGGGTTAACTCAGAGCATAAACTTCTAGGTCCAAAAAAAAAAATAAAAAAACAACCCAAAGGTTGAGGATAGAAAGATCTGTCATACTGCTTTACTGCTTAGAAATCAAGGTGGGCAGCAGCAGGTACATGCAGATGGTTCATAATGCCTAGCATTCTGCTAAGCAGGATGAATCAATGTGGGCTAAAATGATCACTGGGTCAGGTCTACAAACATCTATTAAGTGCCTACAATATGCCAAGTACTGTGCTGGGAATACAGAGATGAAGACAACATCAATTGAGTCCTAGAAGGACTAGAGGGAGAGATAAAACACATCAACACTCAATCAGAGTATGATGTGATATGACCCATGACAAATCCATACTAACGGAGTAGCATATTCAGAGGTACAAAATACCAGGGACATAACAAGCAACTCAGGATTGTTGAAGCTAAAGATGGGGGTGGAAGAAGTGATGGATAGGGATGGAAAGCGGGCAGGGCTCAGATCTTGGAAGTCCTTGGATGCAATGCTAAAAAGCTTAAAATTTGTCTTTTAGGCAATGCAAAACCAGTGAAAATGTTCAAGCAGGGAGGGAACAGGTAGATGTCTTTTTTAATACACCAGTGTAGAGGACAGATGTGATAAATACAACAGTCTAGGCAGGGAAACTCAGAAGGAGTATTGTGAAACAGTCCAGGTGAGAGAGGACAAAAGCCAGAACTAAGGCAATGACAGTGAAGATGGAAAGCGGAGAACAGTTTCAAGACATATGCAGGAGGTAAATTAAGCAGATCTTGATGTTTGATGGTTTTGGGCAATAAGAGCCTAAGTTTTTTTTGTTTTTTTTTTTTTTTAAGATTTTATTTATTCAGTTTTTTCCCCCCAAAGCCCCAGTAGATAGTTGTATGCCATAGGTTCACATCCTTCTAGTTGCTGTACGTGGGACTCGGCCTCACGTTGGACGGAGAAGTGGTGCCTCGGGGCGCTCCCGGGATCCGAACCCGGGCTGCCAGCATCAGAGCGCGCACACTTAACCGCCAAGCCACGGAGCCGGCCCTAAGAGCCTAAGTTTTAAAGGAAAGATAATGAATGCCCTTGGGTATGGTGAGGTTGAGTTTCAGGTGTACATGGTAGATACAGGTGGAGATGTCTAGTAATCAGTGTGCAGTCTGGAAGAGAGGCTAGGCTAGAGATTTGATAGTCACTGGTGTAAAAATGAAGCAAATTATGAGAGAGACTAAAATCACCCAGAGAGAATTACACAAATGAAGACAGAGGAGAGCTTGAGATGCAACCACTGGAGAACAAAAGTTCAGAGATTAAGGAGGAGGAGTTTCAAGGAGGGAGTTTTATAGTTAATGTCATCAAATCCAGTAAAGAAGTTAAGTGAATTAAGAAAAGAAAAACAGTCACTGGATCTGATAATTAGGAGATCACTGGAAACTTTCTTAGAGCAGCTTCAGTGGTGTTGTAGGGAGGAAGCAGGTTTATAGTTGGTTAAAGAGGGTTCTCCTTTGAGAATCTTGGATGAGAAGGCAAAGAGATAAGAAGGGAAAAAAAGCTATACTCAAGAGGTAAGTTTTATTTGTTTGTTTGGTTGGTTTTAGACTGGTGAGCTCTGAGCATGCTCACGTGCTGAGGGGAACATGCCACTGGAGAGGCAAAAGTTCTTAACATAGAAACAAAGGGCAGAGAGCATTCCCTAGTAAGATGGGAAGGGGTGAGGTTCAGACACTGGAGGGTTTGGCCTTGAAGAGGTTGGTTATGTCAGAGTAAAGCAGGGGACTGTGGACCAAACACACCTCCATTTTCCTCCTCACTGAAGAATCTTTCTTTGCAAGATGCTTGATACGCTTCATTCTCTCTTTTAGAGCAGAGTCCCTGGGGACAGTGTGAGTCTCTAAATAAAGCATCAAACACTTCAAAACCAATCTGATTGCCACACTGACCAAGTTGCACTGTTACTATTGACATGCTGAGACACAAATGAGGCCTGTTTCCTCAAAAAAGTGAGCAACCTGTAATAGAAAAATATAGGTTCTGAGAACTACTACATTACTAAAAAATAATGAACAAATAAAATGCCATATGTGTTAATATACATCAATACAAAAACAATTTTAAAATGCCACACATGTATATGGTGTCATAGATGAAATAGCTATGCTGTCTAAGGAGACAAGCATTCAAGGAATTTGTTCTGTTTCTCTATATGGTTTCGGGATTTGGGATTTACTGTACCCAAACCCATTGATACACAGCTCAATAGTTTCCAAAATCTGATCTGTAATTGCTCTTTTCCTAAGCATGCAGTTAAAACAAAACAAAATAAAATGAATGCTGGTTGAAGGAATTCATAGTATACACTTCACACCACAGGGACACATAGAAGGCAGAAGTTAGCTCAACAATCCCACATTTAATTAACATTAATTTTCTCTCCTCTAAATAATGACTCTCTCTCTCCATCAACCACCTTTCTGGTCTGGTAACTATAGTAACACTTATAACAAAGACTGTGTTTAGCTCAGGTAGGACAGGAAGATGAAACTTGGAAAAAGAAAACCAGATGAAACATTAGAGCAAGTCTTCACTATTTTTAACAATGAAAAGAGACAATTTTTGATAAAGACCTCACACCAGGTCTATGCAGCACTGGAAAGGAGCAGTGGCTTGTGAGCCAATTTTCAAGCAACCCTGCAAAATAGGTGTCACTATTCTCATTTTACAGAAAAGGAAACTGAGGCTCTGAAAAATTATGTGGCTTTTGTAAGGCCACTGAAATAATAAATAGCAAAGCCAAGACTCTCCCTCTCCCCACTAGCCCCATTAACCCCACTCACTGACAGCCCCAGGACCAGCGGTTTCCGTCCTGTTCAAATGTCGGAGGGCCAACCCTCTCACTATGCGCATGCTCATTTTCAAAACTCAAAAAGCTACGGAGAACGAATGCGCATGTTCCACAAACGAAGAGTTTTGTTGTGTATTTTTTTTCCTATTCAGAAAGGTTAATTACGCATGTTCAAATTCAATTTATCAACTTCAGACATGGTACGCATGCTCACTGTCTATCAAAGATTTAGCAGAAAATGCGCATGATCTAGCTTCCAAGAGAGGCTTCGGCTGGGGTTCTGCGCATGTTTCCGCCAGTACCTGGCTCCTGGCGATAATTCTACGCATGTTCATTGCCCACAGTTCGGCTTCACAGAACCCTGTACGCATGCTCTAGCGCTGAACTTGAGGAGCCAGTCTAGGGCCTAGGCGCAGACGCATTGAGCCCAAGCAGCCGGTGATGGCGGCAGCGGCGGCGGTGGCTGCGGCGGGTCCGGGCCCATGAGGCGACGACGGAGGCGGGACGGCTTTTACCCAGCGCCGGACTTCCGAGACAGGGAAGCTGAGGACATGGCAGGAGTGTTCGACATAGACCTGGACCAGCCAGAGGACGCAGGCTCTGAGGATGAGCTGGAGGAGGGGGTGAGGCCCGGGGTCCCGGGGGGCCCGAGGTGACAGGGCCAGGGCGGCAGCGCGGGCCCTGGAAGCCGGGCGCCTCCGAGAGCGTGGAGAGCCCGGGGGGCGCCAGTAGTCTCCAGGAGGAGCTGAGGCGCCGCGCGGCCCGAGGCAGGGGAGCGGGCGGGGCGGACCTGGCCCTAGGTGTGAGGCCGCTGAGGGGCTCGCAGGTGCAGGTCGCGCCCCTAGCCCCAGATCAGCGCAGCCTGGAGCAGTCTGTCTGTGGAGGGAACGAGAAAGGGCGTGTGTTGCATTTCCCGAGCTGTTGGACTGGAGTGTGGCGGGGCGCGAGTGGTGTAAGCATGTGTTGGGGGGAGGGGGACTGCGCTTGCTGGGTGTCCCATAAGTGCAGGTGAAGTGCGGAAGGGTTTCCCTTGGAGTATAAGATTTCAAGTATTAAATCTTCAGACCTCCCACAACCACCTCTCTTCTCGGCCTGTCGCTTCTCTCCTAGGAAGCGCTCAGCTGTTAGAAGTGACAGCTGAAAACTTCTGTCGGGAGTAGCGCTGCCGCTGCTGTTACAGCCACCAGGAGTTTTATTTCGGGAGCAAGGGGGCTCTGCTGCATCTTCCAGGGTTTGTTTGTTTGCTTTTGTTTTTTTTTTTTAACCCCCTTCCGTGTGACTTTTTTAAAAAAACGCATTTATAACGACACACGGCATTTGTAATTTACTTTTCCCCTAGTTGAAGATGTCTACGTTTTTTCAAAATACTTTATGTAATTTTGGGGTGCAAAAAAAACAGCGTTGACAGCTGTGATTTGACTTGCCAAAAATAAATTGCTTGAATTGAGACTTGTGAATGGTGGTGTGAGGGCTTTCCTTGCTTTCATTTAGGGTGCCAAATTTAGAATTGTTTTTCCTAATGCATAGCTTGGTTTTACCTTTGCTGTCTTAGTAGTCTGTTATTCTTTACGGAATGTCTTTTGTCAAGATAAATTTATTGAAAAATCACAATTGCACCTGAAGTTAAAAAATGGTCTTGTCATACTAAATCACTGATTCTGGGTAAATGATCATCAATGATAACCTCATGGTAATTTAGATTCCGTTGTCTAGATGAGTGCATGGGTTAATGACTGATGTCAGAAATTTGCTTTTAACTACATAAGAAGCTTCCCTTTCTTTCCTTCATTTGATTTTCCTCCTCTGGCAAGTAAGTTGTACTCTGCTTGTTGACAAAAGATTGAGATGCTATGTTTAAAGAACTTGGAACACTTTAAGAAACTAAGTGGGCTAAAATAATACTGTTCTTTTCATAATCAAATGAATCTAAATCAAAATCACACAGTTTGGAAGTTGGGTATTGAGATGTGTACTTTTTAATAATGTTTGCTATGGAATTCCAGTTAGCCTTTGAATTGAACATGGAATACACTAAAGAGAGAAACAAACATGAGATTACTTTCATTACATATAGCTTACTCTCATCAGTTATATTGGTTCCATATGGCAGTGGCTTTGGAGCAGGGCAGGGGAGAAAACTGGATAGGAAGGATGTTTTATAAAATCTTCATCAGTTGAACTAGTAGAATTTCCAGATCATGGGTTTATCAGAAGTTAAAGGAGTTGGAAGTAAAATACCATATTAAGATTTCTGTTATGAACTGGGACCTCGTTGGTGTGTGTTTTGGCCTACTCCTGGACAGTTTGTTTTGCTGGGTACAAGGAAATAGAATCTTGAGAAAATGTGGAGATGAGGCCAGAGAAATTGGTGGAAATAGGAAAGAGAAAGAAATGTGGCTACTACCCTGGGGGGAAGAACTTTGGGGAAAGAGCAAAGATAAAAGAGGATTTTAAGGAAGAGCCTTCAGCAAAATATATCTTACTTAGCAATGCTTTTGGAGTTGAAAATATTTCTTTGGGTGTGTCATTCTAAGAGGTGCCTCAAGGTAGACAAGCGGAAAGAGTTGGAGTGGGATTGGTTTGGCCACTCAAGGAGATTCAGTGACATCCAGTTTTCTCTAAGTTAAATTTAAAAATTCTGAAAAATGAGAGAAGTTTAGATTCTTGGAAAATCTAGCTATTGTGAATTTATAAATAAAGTTAATATTCTATTTGTGAGTTTATAACCTTTAGTGCACAAACTTTTAAAACATTGCTGCGTACCAGAGTAGCCTCACTTTTTCATTTTATAGTAAGGAAAGTGAGGCATTGGCCAGAGACATGAGTGCCCAAGACCGCATAGATAACTAGTAATGTGTCTTCTGACTCAATTCAGCAAGCTTCATTGCACAGCTTCTTCATTGCCTTTACTAGTCTTGTTCATACTGTACCTCTTTGTGTTGTGTCAAAAATGAATTCAAATCCCTCCAGCCATGCTGTGACCTAGAATAAATAAATCTCTCTGACACTTTTTTCTTCTCTATAAAATGAGGATTACATGAGATAAAGTATATGAAATACTCTCAAAATATCTTGGCATATTAAGCGGTTAGCTAGTTCATGCAAATATAGCTTGTCAGTGTTACTCATTGCCCAGGAACCAATTTTTCAAGTTTACCCTCATCTATACATAGAGACTTAATAATAAATGCAGTTATACTAGAAGTGCTGCATTTTTAGAACTGTAGTATCTTCTTTTTTTATCATTGGTCCTATTTAGAGATATATGCCTTTTTAAGTATGTTACACTGAGTGAATCTGTATTAGTAAATAAATATGTATTAGTAAATAAATATGTATTAGTAAATAAATATGTAAATATATTTACATAGCATAGTTAATTCTTCAGTGAGTAGAAGATGAGAATAAATGAATACATTTAGGTAAAGCTGAATGTGTGCTACCTAACTAAAAAAAGACCCTGATTTAATACCTCCGAGGACCATATTAAAAGCAATGGGTGAGAGGGTTTTTTTGGGGGCGGGAGGAAGGTTGGGGTTGGATCTTTTTTGTTTTGCTGGTGATGATATAATTTGGGGACAGTGAGTTGAAACTAAGGGAAAGTTTTCTTCTAGAGGTTTTCATTAGATTATGAAAATGTTGGAAACCTCTGCTTTCTGTGGAGACAAAGTTAAAAGAGTAATAGAAAATTGTAATGCAACTTTAAAAATACTTAATTTTTACTAATTCAAAATTTGAAATAGTCACAGAGGCTTACTACATGAGTTTCGGATTGGGATATCAGACTTTTATTGAGCAAAAAGTGTAAAATTTTTTAGTGTTTTGAAAAGCAAAGTGCTGTATAAATAGTATTATTCAAATATTCATGATTATGAAAAATTATAGAAACATCTCATTATCAATGCTTTTCTTGCATTGTAGTAGATACTGTAAAGCATTTATTTTTTAATTTTTTTATTTTATTGAGGTCATGTTGGCCTATAACATTGTGTAATTTCAGGTGTACATTATTATATATCAGTTTCTGTATAGACTGCATCGTGCTCACCACCAATAGTCTAGTTTTTATCATTCACCCTACATATGTGCCCCTTTACTCCTTTCGCCCACCCCCCCTTCCCCTTCCCCTCTGGTAACCACTAATCTGTTCTTTTTATCCATGTGTTTGTTTATCTTCCACATATGAGTGAAATCATACGATGTCTGTCTTTCTCTGGCTTATTTTGCTTAACAGAATACCCTCAAGGTTCATCCACATTATCGCAAATGGGACAGTTTTGTCTTTTTTTGTAGCTGAGTAGTATTCCATTGTGTGTATAAACCACATCTTCTTTATCCATTCATCAGTTGATGGGCACTTGGGTTGCTTCCACATCTTGGCTATTGTGAATAATGCTGCAATGAACATAGGAGTGCATAGATTTCTTTGTATTGTTGATTTCATGTTCTTTGGATAAATACCCAGTAGTGGGATAGCTGGATCATATGGTATTTCTATTTTTAATTTTTTGAGAAATCTGTTTCCATACTGTTTTCCATAGTGGCTGCACCCAGTTTGCATTCCCCCCAGCAGTGTATGAGGGTTCCGTTTTCTCCACATCCTCTCCAACGCTTATTATCTCTTTTCTTGTTAATTATAGCCATTCTGACGGGTGTGAGGTGACATCTCATTGTAGTTTTGATTTGTATTTCCCTAATAATTAGTGCATTGAACATCTTTTCGTGTGCCTGAAGGCCATCTGTATATCTTCTTTGGAAAAATGTCTGTGCATATCCTCTGCCCATTTTTTTGATTGGGTTGTTTGTCTTTTTGTTGTTGAGTTGTATGAGTTCTCTATAGATTTTGGAAATTAATGTAAAGCATTTTTAAATAGCCCAAGATTTGGGGCAAAGTTTAGCCCCTTTTCCCCCAATTCATCTGAATTACTGAATCTTATTTTATAAGGAAATGTCTTTGAACAGCCAGGCAAGTGAATAAATGATTTAATGAATCTCTAGATTAAGGGTATTTCACCCAGTCTGTAACAGTTTATTTAAATTTTTATAAAATGTGCTCTCTTTCATTGGGATTTAGGTGTATTCACTTGAATTTATATACAATTTTAATTTAAAACTTTGTGAATAGTTATTCTGGTGGGCTAGTTTGAAACAGTGTATCTTGTACAGTTCCTTAGATGAGTAGGATTCCACTTGGTCAATCATAGTGGCACGCACAAAAAAGCATTGAACGGATTATAAAGCTTTAAGGCAGCAGAAAAAAATCTGAATAAAGTTTCCTGTGAAA